TTTCGTCGACCACTTGCCCGCCAAATCCTCTGACCATGCTGCCGACTCGAAGCAACCTTATTGACGTTGAAGTAGATGACACACCCGTTGTTACACTTGTGGACACAGGGGCTCACATATCAGTGATGAATTCAGAACTTCGTTGCCGCCTTAGGAAAGGTTTAACGCCACCCACAGTGCCACTCATCCAGGTCGCCGACAGCGCCACATTTCCTGTGCTTGGAATGTGCTCCGCGCGTATAAGTGTGACTGATCGCTCCAGGACAGTGCTATTTGCTGTGCTCGAGAAATGTTCCCATGAACTTATCCTCGGCATGGACTTTTTATCCGCCCACTCTGCCCTTATTGATTGTGAAACCGGCATGCTTCAACTTGATTTACCGTGTTACCATGACGACCCAACACCAGCTCAACCCCGTCTGTGTTCTGCAGATCACGTTCGCCTAGCACCTCAAGCCATTACTTACGTGAATCTTAGATCTGTCCCTCCTGTTCCCGATGGTGACTACATGTTGACACCTATTGCTGACGTTCTGCTGGTCAAAAATGTTGCCGTGCCTCACACACTTTTGACAGTCACGGGAAATACAGCGTCTCTTCCGATCTTAAACTTCAGCTGGTGCGCTCAAGTTATCCCAGATGGTATGACTTTGGCAAAAGTTTTTTCTATAGATGCTGTCATTTCGGCGTTCGTTGCCGAATCTTCTTCGTCCTCTGCTCCGTTTTCATCCTCGAAGAGCGCAGCGGATGCCACCATCGACAAGATGATCGCTCCGGACCTTCTTCCAGCACAGACAGCTGACATCCGGCACCTGCTGAAATGCTACCGCGACATCTTTGACTTTGATGACCGCCCTTTGGGTCAGACATCCTTTGTAACTCATAGGATTAACACTGGAGACGCCAGCCCCATCCGGCGACGTCTTTATCGCGTGTCTAATGCTGAGCCACAAGTTATCTAGCACGAAGTTGAAGAAATGCTCACAAAAGACGTCATCGAACCTTCCTACAGTTCATGGGCATCGCCGGTCGTGCTAGTCAAGAAGAAGAATGGCAGCTGGCGCTTCTGCGTAGACTACCGTCACTTAAACAAAGTAACACGTAAGGACGTGTATCCACTGCCGCAGATTGACGATGCTCTCGACTGCCTACATGGTTCTGCCTACATGGTTCTGCCTACTTTTCATCTATCGACTTGCGATCAGGATACTGGCAGATTTCTGTCGATCATCGAGACCATGAGAAAATCGCATTCATCACACCGGATGGACTTTTCCAGTTCAAGGTTATGCCATTCGGATTGTGTAATGCGCCAGCTACATTTCAAAGGATGATGGACTCTCTCCTGCGTGGATACAAATGGACCACGTGCCTGTGCTATCTCGATGACGTCATCGTATTTTCACCTACATTCGAAAGCCACCTTAGCCACCTAACGGCTGTTCTTGAGGTTTTCCGGAAAGCAGGACTTAAGCTCAACTCTTCCAAATGTCGCTTTGGCCGTTGGGAAATCACTGTACTGGGCCACCTTGTCAGTGCCCGAGGCGTGCAACCTGATCCTGACAAAATTCGAGTTGTCAAAGATTTTCCCATACCACGTTCCGCAAAAGATGTACGGAGCTTTATCGGCCTTTGTTCTTACTTTCAACGTTTCGTGAAGAATTTTGCTGACATTGCCCGACCACTTAAGGAGCTACTGAAGAAGGACATGCCTTTTTATTGGGGTACTGACCAAGCAACTGCCTTCAGCACCCTTACAACATTACTTACTTCCCCACCCATCTTGGCCCATTTCGACCCGTCAGCCCATACTGAAGTTCGTACCGATGCCAACGGACATGGAATCGGTGCTGTTCTCGCCCAGCGGCAACGAGGACAGGATCGCGTCATTGCTTATGCCAGTTGCCTCCTTTCTCCTTCGGAGAGCAAGTTTTCCATAACAGAGCGTGAGTGCCTCGCACTAGTCTGAGCAGTTGGAAAATTTCGACCATACTTGTATGGCAGCACCTTTTCGGTAATTACAGATCATCATGCCTTATGCTGGCTGTCGTCCCTTAAAGATCCAACAGGACGATTTGGCCGTTGGGCCTTGAAACTACAAGAATACAGCTTTGACGTGGCATACAAATCTGACCGAATGCACCAGGATGCCGACTGTCTATCCCGTCACCCCGTGGACCCACCTGACCTTTCCGCACATGATTTTGGCCCTTGTGTCTTCGCCATGTCGGCTTTCACCGACATACGCAAGGAGCAGCTCAGTGATGTCCACTTGCGGTCTATCATGCAGAGTCTACGCTTGCCCCACGTAGACCCGTCGCTACACTTGTTCGTTCTACGCGATGGCATTCTTTACCGACGCAACACGAGCGCCGAAGGACCAGAGCTACTACTCGTAGTTCCTGCGACACTCCGTTCCGCTGTACTTGAACAGCTTCACGACGCCCCAAGCGCGGGACATCTCGGGGTCACGCGCACGTACGATGGCGTGCGGCGTAGATTCTTCTGGCCAGGCCTTTACCGTTCTGTGCGCCGATAGGTTGCTGCATGTGAGTCCTGCCAGCGCTCCAAACATTCCACGTTGCCACCAGCTGGTCTGCTCCAACCAATAGACATGCCCACCGTTCCCTTCTACCGCGTCGGTCTTGACCTCGTTGGACCATTTCCTACTTCTCTCACTGGAAACAAGTGGATAGCCGTAGCCACTGATTAAGCCACAAGATACGCTATCACACGAGCGCCACCGACAAGCTGTGCCACTGACGTCGCGGACTTCTTGCTTCATGACGTAATTCTTCACCATGGTGCTCCTCGACAGCTGCTGACTGATCGTGGTCGCTCATTTCTTTCAAAAGTAGTAAGTGACATCCTTCACTCGTGTTCGGCGCGTCACAAGCTCACTACGGCCTATCACCCACAAACAAATAGTCTTACCGAGCGCCTAAATCGAACATTGACAACAATGCTCTCCATGTACGTTTCCAAGGATCACCTTGATTGGGATAGTACTTTGCTTTATGTGACATTCGCGTACAATTCGTCACGCCACGACACCGCTGGCTTCTCCCCCTTCTATTTATTGTTCGGCCGCCATCCAGCGTTATCCTTCGAGACTCTTCTCCCATCAACTACGCAAACGGTTACAGAGTATGCCCGGGATGCCACTGCTCGGGCTCAAGTGGCCCGCCAAATCGCACGGGAACGTCTTCTTGGCTCGCAGCTCTCTCAGAAGGCCCGGTACAATAGCCATCACAGAGTAGTTTCCTACTCTCCAGGTTCATTGGTTCTCCTCTGGACACCATGCTGCCACGTTGGCCTCTCTTCGAAGCTCCTGTCTCGCTACTCGGGGCCTTACAAGGTTTTACGCCGGCTTACCGATGTCACATACGAGATTGCTCCGTTGGACAGTCAGTTATCGTCGTCTGCACCCGCTACTGACGTCGTCTACGTGAGCCGCCTCAAACCGTACATATCCGCATATGATCCTACTCTCCTTTAGGCGCCGAGGCGGCGCTGCCAGCAGCGGGGGGTTATATGTTACACGACATCGGCAACGAAAGAGCATCATAGACGACGAAGACGATGAAAGCGACCGTGCTCGTGTTGTTGTTGCTGCTGTGTTTGGTAGTCGGGTGAAATTATGGGCGATACGTCGACTTTTTGCGGCCTCAAAACGCTGGCACTCCTTGATGATGACATCGACCGTGTTGCAGTCCTTGCACATGAGAAGGTTAAATGCATCATCTGCAATGCCTTTCAATATGTGAGCTACTTTTTCGGTTTCTTCCATATCGTTGTCCGCTTTTCGGCAAAAGGCAAGCACGTCCTGTATGTAAGTCACGTAGGACTCTGATGACGTTTGCGCACGAGATGCCAACTCCTTCTTGGCCGCTGCCTTTCTGCCCACAGACTTGTTGAAAAGGGCGCACATCTTTTCTTTGCACGCATCCCAGCTTCCAATTTCATCTTCGTGGTTCTCGAACCACACTTTTGCTGTTCCTATCAAGTAGAACAGGATATTGGCTAACATAAGAGTTTCATCCCAGCCGTAATTCTTACTTGTACGTTCGTACAACGGCAACCATTCTTCGATGTCGACATCATCCGTGCCACAGAACGTGCCAGGATCTTTTAGCTGCGGAAGGACCACAGTTGTTGTTGTAGTCGCCTCAGCGGGAGCCGGTCCCTGGTTTGCCATGAGGGAAAAATTCAAGCGTCGGCCACTGCGGAGCTCCATTATATCGTGTTTTACCCCGCACCTCCACCAAATATCACGGGGGTGAGAGAATGAATGAAATAAATATATTTACAAAATATACAGGGAGAGTCAGAGGCAGCTGCAGCCAAGATGGAAGAACAGCAGCAACAACACGAGCACGGTCTCTTTCATCGTCTTCGTCGTCTATGATGCTCTTTCGTTGCCAGTGTCGTGTAACAATATGGTGGTTTTGGGATGTAAAATCCCACATATCAATCAATCAAGGTAGTGCTGGTGGGAGATTTCTCCTGTGCATTGTTGAATAATAAAAATTGCACCGTGCAGGGTCACTAAAGACGGACTGCGGGTCTCTGTGTCCAGTCAGAGTCTTCTGTCTCTCGTTGCCCATTAGCAGTGATTGGCATGTTTTAGTGGGAAACACCAGTCTATCACTACGTGCTTTGCACCTCCACAGGTTTCTCTCTTGCGCAACGCGACGATGAGCGATGATCAACGTTCCCACCTGTGTAAGCGTTAGCGCCCGCTGCTTCACATCTACACATGGTTCTCTTTAGCGGGAGATAGTGTAATTTTTAAGCCTCAAGATGAAGGGGAAAAAAGACATCTATCAGGCTTGTGTGGACTGACAGAAGTGCAATAGTGAATGTTTATAGTTCAGTGATCAAAATGCCATTGACAAATCATGAAATAGCCCATATAAGTTGAGAGCTAAAAGGTCACTACGGAAGTTTTACAGTGGCTGATAATGTGCGATTGCAGTCTACCTTGAATTATTTTACAGGAACGGCTGGCCCATCTGAAAAAACAGTGTCAACCACATTTAGTCCAGGCAGCTCGTTCTTCAGTGGAAGGTATATGTGCCAAAATATATCATATGTCTGTCGAAAATGTGAAGAAGATACGGGAAAAGCATTGGACCATTCTCAACCAGCATGGCATCGAAGGTAAGCAAGAGTCATCACAGTTTTTTAGGAAAAACATGAATAAGCACCTATAGCACAATGCATTTGTTTCTTCTGAGTATTGTTAGTGAAATCCTGCAATGACAAAATTCTTTTGTTGAACTTTTGTTGAATTTTATAGACACAAAATTTTTTAGTTAAAAAAATTAACACAAACATGGTTTGGAGACAGGAAAAATTTATTTTTAAGTCTTACTTTTGGTCTGTGCGTGTTTTTTTCGTGAAGCAGCCTGATGTGTTTTTCACATTGTGTCATTTGAATTTTCGTGACTTCATGCACCTCATCAAAGTGTCACATCACGTCATTTTCTCAACAAGTGAGGTTGCTGCATTTGGACACATTCTCTATGGTGGAGTCTTTGCGGCGTCGCAACACTATTGTGAACAAATTAATAAACATTTCTTCGATTGATTGATTTGTATGTGGGCTTTGACGTCCCAAAACCATCATATGATTATAAGAGACGCCGTAGTGGAGGGCCCTGGAAATTTCGACCACCTAGGGTTCTTCAAAGTGCACCCACATTTCTTTGATAATAACGATATGCGAGTTTAATCAATTATTGGGGTGCTGGTACTATGGTCACGTACGATATCCTTGAGTTCCGCAATTTTTTAGTATAGAAATTTCTTTGAAGCAAAACAAATGTTCATGTCCTGTTTTTGCTAGCATAACATGAACTGATGAACCACTTCAATCAATAACCTTTGTAATGAAAGTGAATTGCAGCCTTCAGAGCTCGTTAGACAAATTTCCAAATAACACTCTGAGAGCTACACAAGAACATGGCAAGACTCTATCCAAATGTTTCATTTTGCTGTGCGTTTGCAAGCACACCCAGCAAAAAAAAGCTTCGGTGAACATGGATGATTGGATGCAGAAAAGGCTGGCTTCCCACTTAACTTGGGAACATGTTCTCTGAAAACTCAGTTGTAGTTATTGCTGCTTACACCAGTGGTTCTCAGCCACGGTTCAAAGACCCCTGGCATTGAGAAAAAAAAAGGGAAGGGGGGGGGTGTATAAATTAACATACCATGCTGCACAAAATAGGCACCTTTTCAGGGTGTGTACAAGTCCTTGAAAACTTTGAAAACCCTTGAATTTAAAACATGTATTTTCAAGGCCCTTTAAAGTCCTGGAGTTTTTTCTCATCCTTGCAAATTCTTCAATTGCCTGAGCACTCTCATTGTGGCCTCTTTTATAGATTGGCATACTTTCCAAGTTTCCCGGATTTAGAGCAGTTCTTATGTTTGTACGTTTGTCTGGAGAATCTCCCAGAAATTGAAATTTCTGTGCGTGGTCTGGCCGCATTCATAAAAATTCAGCCCAATCCAATCCAGGCTTTTGGCGAACCCATCGCATTTCATTGTAAATGAAATTAGGAGGTGTTCTTCTTAACGTTCATTGGGCCAACATTTGTATGTTTCGAGCTCTTTTCCGTATCGCGGTGGGTATTATGAATTTTATTTCGAAACCTTGAAACGAAGGTCAAGAGCAGCGTGCTCGAAGCTTCATAAGGACGTGCGCGGCCAGCGCACGTACTGTAAGAACTGCGGTTATCGTTTGCCACAACTTCTGTGGACGGAACCACGATCAAGTGTGGTGACAACGTAACTCACGGAACTCTGAAAGTGCACACACTTTCAGCGCTTGATCAGTTAAAGCGACGATGCTTTCTACAAACGCTCCGGACAAAATCATGGCAGATGCGATCATAGATAGAAAAAAACAAGTTTCCAAAGCACGTGCGCAGCCAGCACACGCAGATTGAAAAAGCCGAACTATTGTGTTCTACAACCGCCTCGTGCGAAATAGTGGTTGCAGCGACGCGATTACTACCTGAGGGCCCGCAGCTAATGCAGCGGTAGAGGCAACAAAGATGTAAAAAATGCTAAAGGCGTTTGGCGTTCCTGTCCAAAGAATCTAGTAACTTGATCCTGTCGATCTGGGTACATTGGTTATACTTTGGCATTAAATTTTCAGTTGGCCTTAAGCGAAGCTTTGACCGGCCCGTTCCTGGCAGCCGGCTGCGCCGTCCCGTCCGTTCAGTGTGCCCCAGGAAGACATACGCGAGTTCTTTCGTCAGAAATAGATTTTGCTAGTTGTTTTTATGATGGGAAATTTTGAGAGATACAAGTATATTCACCATCCTTTGAGACTCGCATCTTTTACTGTAGTTGTGAAACCCTACCCTCGGGTGTTCGACTACTCCAAGTCGGCATGAGACCGTGCCACGCCGATGTTTACTGTCCCCCCCCCCCCCCCCCCCCCCCCCCCCCCACCGTTTTTCGCTGTTTTTTTTGATGAAAAAAAAGTAAGAAAAATAAATCAGCGCAACTCTCTCCCTTCCCCACCCTCTCGTTGCGGAAATCTCCCGTATTAAGAAACTTTGAACTTTGCAGGTATGGATCGGCATCGACTTGACAAAATCCCCATTTTCAAAACAGTAATTTGGCGTGAGTTTATATGGTTTCATTTTCCAAAACCGCATGTGGAATAGTTTTACTGCGTCAAACCACGAACAAACTAAGTGAGAGACTCGTAATGCTCTTTGGTGCTGGTTCCTTCCTTGTTGTGCAAGTGGTGAAGCTGAAGTGAGCTTAAGTGCAGACTAGACATGTTTGTTATAATTGCAATATGCATGTACTGTATAGGTGCAATAAAAATGAGTAAATATTGAAAATTTTAAAGTAAAAATATTTGAACATTGCGTGCCTCATTTAGTTCTTGAAAAACCTGTGACAGGTCCTGGAAAGTCCTTGAATATTTTTGAATTTTCGCTTCGAAAAGCTGTATGAACCCGGCTTCTATTTCTGTTTGGCAAAGGTTGGTAAAATTAAAGGGCCACACCAATTCAATTTCAGCAGCTTGTCCATAAATTGGACAGTCTGCAGCCACTTTCGATCTATTTCTAAGTATGTTTGCTCTTTTAATACCCAAGCCTGGAAAATGTATTCTCGCGTGCTTATGTTGTAGAAAACTGCAAAAAACCCGACTAGTGCCATCTCATGCAGAAATGGAAGCCAGATCTGCCGCAATTCAAAGCTCTTATTTGGTGAAGCATATCTAAAATCATAGGGCCCACTGTCATGGGACAAAACGTGGTGAAGGATACCATTACTCAGAATGGAAACGTGGTGAGGGATACCATTACTCACAGGTTGCCGGCAGAAGAACACAGAGGAACGGTCTCCTAAAATGTGCCGTATTAGCAATGCATCGCAGAGTTTGCACGACTGTATACATAAGGACAAAATCTGCAGTGAATGCTTGCAGCTGTACTACATTACACACGCTATGATGTCTACTCCGTCGATCTTATTTATGATGTCCTACGAGCTCGAACTTTGTCTTTACAGTGTGTCGATTGCATTTGCTTGATTGATGAGCACTTTGCAGTTGCACTCTTGTGCTTGCCACGTTGATCCTCATCAGCCACATGCAATAAAAGTTCATTTTCCATTCGCAATTACTGCTTTGTTCATTTACCAATACATAATTATCGTCATGCTTGTCTTTTCATGATGAGACAGAATTGCAAAAATCATTTTTTCTTCGATTCTACAAGAAAGCAGTTCTACATAAATCAAACTTGTTTTATATGCAGCAACACCACTTCCCTTCCACAGAACTGAGATGGCGTGGTTTCAACGTGCAGATATGCTAATGTTGCAGCAATCGTGTATATTTTATTTACACGGTTCTGACCAAATGTATCCGCAATGACTGCAGTACTCTAGAGCATTTTTACCACTTTGTTGCAAAGGTCTTCGTTAAATCAGCAAAGTAAAATACTCTGCTTCTTGACAACATTTTCTCCATGGTTGAGAGAACCCACACGGTCGTTTTTAAGACAGACAGTGCCAAAAGTCAGAAGTGGCTTTAATTTTATGATTCCCAAAAGAATAAAACATCTCCTATAAATTATGTACTGCCGAGTCTTTGGACTGCAGCACAGACACCACGATCGTTTTCAACAGGTATTCCCAGCAATCATATTCAGCAAATGAAAGCCAAAACATAAATGCAAAGGTCATTTGTGCACTAATGAATGTGCTTCTGAGCTTGCAGATAAAGGAGACTGGACAAAAATTTTAAGACGTGGTCGCTGTGTGAACTTGTAGACGGAAGCTACAAAGATTTAAATGTTACATCCATTCGAATCTGTCATATTAGGCGCATCCACGAATGCCGGGCAAATAAAAGAAAGAGGGAAAAAAATAACTGCTTACTAAGGCATCCTTGGAAGTTCAAAATTTTAAAATTTAAACACACCTAAACACACACGCTCAAACACGCACCAGTTCCTGTTAACCAACTATATATGCTGCTACTTGAAGAAAACAACAACTTTAAAATGGTGTTTTCGTCAATAGGGGAAGAAAGGCACATGATCACTTTTCTTAACTTGCGTAGCAGTCGAATTCGAACGCTCAGAACACCATGCCTACTTTTTAACGCTACCCTGGTGTAACCTTGAATAGCAGTTGCGAGCATTGTCTTCTAAATTTCCTATTACACGCAGAGAAGAACTACGAAAGTGCCACATTGAAATTCGTTGTAAATGAGAAAAATAAACATAGCACAGGCCCCTGCAATTAGGAACTGTGCTCGTACTTCCGCAGCGAGAATGAATTTACATACAAGCAATTCTTGTACACAATGCAGTGGTGAATTCTAAAAGCTGCCAATGTAATGTGATATATAGTAAAAATTACTCACTCCACCGCATTATCCGTTCGGTGGCTATGCTAGTGATTAGAAGGCTCTCAGCAAAGCGAAAGTAAACAAAGCGAAAAACCGTCTGTTATGCTTCTTGTCATCCCTCACATAGTTGGTTAGTCACCCCGGCAAAAGTAGGGTCTAAAACAACACATATGCAGACACTACGGTAAATATAAACTGCGAGTAATAGATGCATACGTGACGAAATAAACTAAGCACGTAGAAATGTTCAGCAGCAGACGAAACGCCATAAGTTATTCGTTCGGCTGCCTAGGTGCGACTGTTGCCAGACTTGAAGCGGGGGTTTCGCTAACTCTATCGGCTCAAGGCTTACGGAAACCACGCTACCACTATAAATGCATGTATTTTACTGTAATTTCAATGTATAAAAACGAATGATGAAGAAAAGCGTTTATTTATTGTATGGAGATATGCATTTCTTAACCACAATTATGAATACTCTCATTATCGGGCACTTTTCTTGGCTCATGCAGTTCTCTTAAGTGAAGGGAGCATTTCCAAGGCCTCCCTTGAGGATGTAAGTGTGGAGGAGCACGCTCCGCCTCGACTTCGTCCAGTTGAGGGGAGCCCTTGAGTGAAGGAGTTTTTGTGAATACGGAGGTTAGAATTTTCTTGTGATGACAAAATTCAGTACTCTGTATTGGGCCAGCTTACTCCCAATTATTGCATAGTTCAATAATCATATAATCGTAAATACAAACACATGATCGCACATTTCCTGCTGTGTGCTCTTTAATAATATTTGGCTTATATGTTTACATGATTATTAAAAAAGTGTTGATGCAGACACTCTGTTTCTGTGTGTAATCATTGGCTACTAACTCTTTAATCGTAGCAAAGAAACTGTACGAGCCTCGAATGTTCAACTATATGTCTACGTGTAACGACCGGTGGCAGTTTCGATTTCATTAAGCATTTCATGGCCTTGGGGTGTACATGGGGTTGCTTGTAACAAGTAAACAAGTGCAATCACATAAACATGCGTATTGGTAATGTATCTGGCCACCTTCTGCCATGTCAATTTGCTGCGTGAGCACTGCATGTTGCTGTGTCTTCTGTACACAGACCATGGTGCTTATTCAATGTATTGATGAAACACTGGCCAGCATTTTTCATCACATGCACATCTGTAGTAACTTTTAATGTGGGCGTAACTGTATACCATGTAAGAGAAGTTTTATGCAGCACTTGAAAGCTTTTTAGTAGGTACAACCAATTTACGTGGGACTTCAATGTGATGACACTTGTGAGCATTGTGGTTCTAAGAGGCCTGAAGTAAACTTATGTGGTTAATTTGTTTCGTGCAGAAATCACAAGCCCATTGCACGTGGCAAACCCAAAAAAAGTGTTCTGCTATCCAGTCCAGTTTGCCATCTCATCACCTCGGTTACCAGCAGTGGATGTGCTCACTGACAAGGACAGCACCCTTTTGCGCTACAAAGGGGAAGTTGTGCGCATCAACACGCTGTACTTTCAGAAACTTGTAAGTTTACATTGTTGTAGACACATTAAGCTGACGGTCTACTTTCATTATGTCAGCATGTGAAGCACCTATTTGACTTGCATAGAATTGCAGAAGTACAGGGGGGCTCAAAAGTTCCCAGGCGACTATGCCATGTATTCCTATGGCAGCATGGCCTGGGAACTTTTGGCCCCCCCACCCCCCTTACTCCCTGTACATCTGCACATTTAATGAGGGTGTCCTTGAAATCCTTGAAAACCCTTGAATTTCAAAAATGTATTTTCAAGGCCCTGGAAAGTTCTGGAATTTCTTGAGCAGCGAACTCTCTTATCGACATTGATCTTTAGTGTACACGTATCTAGCAGGAGTAGGGCCACTAGCATGGGTTTGGTTTTAGTGAGCTGCAGAGCCGCGTTCACTGTCGTCTCACGTGACTAACGCCGCTGCACATGTGTTCGGACAGTCGAGGCGCTGAACACAGCGTGGCAAGTACACAGTACTGCTCAACAAGTCACAACACTTTATTGCCTGCGGCAACACTAAAAATTCTGTACAGCGTCCACTGCAAAAGGCGGCGGGAGAGCAAAAGAGGCTTGTCCACCCCACAGGTGAAAATACTACACAAAGGGTGCCGTGAGCACGTCTCCATGGTCAAAAGGGTTCTCGGAGACATGCCGCGAAAGGAAATAGTTCCTTGCGACTACGCTAAGCACTCTCATGATCAGTGACGACTGGTCCCGATCGCTCGAGCGAGGGCAAACTCTACTCGTGTTCACGTTTAGAGTTACGGGTCGACCTAGTACGACCACAGGTGAATACACTGCACCACTCTTCGGCCTAGCGTTCGGAAGGGGCAACGAAAGGTAAGCGTTTGCCGGATGCTCAAGGCACCGTTGGCGAGTTCGAGTGAGCTTCAAGACCAAAGGAGCTGACAGACTGGAAAGAAAGGGCTGCTCATATCTCATTTCCGCCGGACGCACCCGTGCGATACATCTCAGGAGACTCGACTGCAGCGTCGAAATGACATCCGCTGCCGGGTGAGAAGGGTCGATATCATTCCCGCTCTCTCAGCGCTAACGGACCGTGGAGGAGCGGAGAGTCATGTTTGGATGTGAGACTGGCAGAAATATGTGAAAAAGAAAAATCGCAGCATATTCATGAAGTGAATGATGAGTGGGGCAATGCGTCTGTCTGTCTGACCGTCCGTCTGTTTGTCCGTTCATGTGTCTGTCCATGCTTCCGTCCGCCCATCTGTGCAGCCTTCTGTTTGTCTGATACTGCCGGCTATGCGTGACGCAGGACAAGGTTAAACTAAGAGGAGATTTACTTTTAAAAGCCCGTGCAATGGCGACAGGCTAGCCTCAATCCGCACAGACCTCCTAAATGTGGTAGATCGGTGTGTCAGCGTGTCAAACTCCCCATTTCCAAAGCAGTAATGTGGCGTGGGCGCACATGGTCCCATTTTCCAAAAATTCACGTAAGAAAAAGTTGTTTCGGGGCAAGGAAAAGCAGTCAATGTGATAGCAAAAAATTATAGTGTCACATGAGAAAGGGCAAGCAACTCGATACATGCAACGCACCGCTCAAGCACAAAGGACGCATAAAATAACGCACACGCGACGAGTTCTAACGAACAACTGTCACAGCTCGACACTTGAGGCGTGCTTCTTAAACACCTAGAAGGATGCTAGAACACTCATGAATACACTGGATGAGTGTATATTAAAGGGACACTAAAGGCAACTATTAAGTCGACGTTGATTGTTATAATGGCGGTCCAGACACCTCATAGTGTTACTTTCGTTCATGCCAAGGAAGGGCCTATTTTGAAGTAAAATTCTGTTTTAGTGGTCCGCATCGGGTTAGTGCACTTTCATTTACTCGCTTCAAGAAGCAGACCGACTGCACCGACTCACATCACTGTTGACTGTTGCCGTGCACAACGTTGCCCAGCTTTACTGTGCTAGTAGCAGCAGATCGAAAGCAGCGGGAGCCACAGCAGCAACAACGGCCATTGATTAATTTCTCGCCATTGGCTCCAATATTACAGTCGTCTTTTGTTTTAACTGTGCCTCACTACATCGCACCGCCTGTCCATTGTAACTACGCATAAATTGAATTTTCGGACTACTCGCACCATTCCCCATAGTAACGTCCGGTGGCTATTTTTTTCCATGAATCAAACAGAAATGATCAAGCAGCATTTTATTGCATCTCTTGATGCATGAAAGGTTCTTTATTTAGTGCAGCTAGATCAGTTACTAGTGATTAATTGTAGACGATCTGTCTGATGTCATCGGGATCATTTTGAAAATGTCCTACTGCGGGGCATGCGTTCTTGTGCACTTACCTTAATTTCTCGCTAAGTAGGGCACCGTTGCTGATAATGTTGTCGTTTTAGATGTTGTCATACATTGAGCTTCCACTCTGACGTAAATCGTTGTTTGACTTTAGTGTCCCTTTAACCACTGTCACAGTCGTTACTTCTTGGTGTTTGAGCAGCGTGCTGCAAGTGTCAACTGTACACAAGCCAACACTCTTAACAGGGTGGTGCCATCAAATTGCAAGGCTATAGCAAGCGTCGTGTGGGTTTCCTCTGTATACAAGGACACTCCACACGAATGGTCGGACTCTGAAAACATTTAGAATATATTTTAACTCACTCCCAAAGTGTATCTAAATGCTCATTCTCCCAATCAAAGCTCATCGCTAGCTTGTCTAACACTGACGTAACTCTATCGGAAGGGCAACGAAAGCTGTAGTGACGTCACACCAGATCAGTAGTGAGGTGAGTGACATGCGGACGTCCGCCATGTACGTAGTACTGCCAAAGCATGGCGGCTGCTGCAGCTAGCGGCATGTTTGTTTTGCAAGTGCTTGTGTGGCACATGTGTGCAAGAGCAGACGATACTTAATATGACGCGCGTCAGAGTTTTGTGTGATCACATGACTAAGTCACCTACACTGCTACGTCTCTGCCCAACTCAGTGCCCACAAACCAATACTGAAAATAGTCCACATTAATAAGGTGATACTGAAGTATTTAGCAAGGATAAGCGAATCTTGGTGCCTGCATTGTGCTTGTTCAAGCTATAAGAAATGCTTCCAACAAAGAACGCACAAGCTACTAATATTGTAACACAACTCCTTTAAGTTCTGACTCTATGCGTTGAAGCCAGTCAGCGCATAACTTTTTGACAGGGCATTGTGCCCTCTTCCCATAGAGAATGAAGGAGACGGTGTGGTGCCACGTCAAAAAGCCACACGCTTAAGTGCTGTACCACTTGCGTAGGGTCAGGTCTTTAGCGATGGTAATTTCCCTGGTGGGCATGGCCGACTCCTTCTAACCGCACGTCATTCGCGACCTAAGCCTCGCCGAGGGCTTTACACGCGCATGGGAAGCCACCATGCTTTTCATGCAGCTTGGATGAGGCTAACGAAAAATTATTTCATGCTACTGATGTGCTATTGACTTAGAAATGACAGATCGTTGTGTACAGCAGTATTTATGTTGTTAGAAACTGCACAAAAACATTACGCGTATTTAACATGGTGAGCGCACTGCGGTGACATCAAAATGTTCTCTCAATTGCACAGAACGCCAGCACCACCCTTATGCAAGGTAACTGCTCAAATGTTCAGTTGAAGTAGCATGAGTGTGTATGAAGAAATAAGGTGCAGCTTACGCTGAAGAGAGGCACTTACCGAACTTACCAAAGTCGTCACTCAGCATCGGTCATGCTTTGTTCTCGCAATGCCGCCGCTGCCGGGTCTGAAAAAGCCAGACAGACCTGCGACGAAGGTGAAATCTGTGCTCTCATTGCCTTGCAGCTTCTTTAGCACTATACTTGATACTTTCCTGATAGCCGCCTGCATTTCTTTTCCAAACTACACTTAAAAAAGAAAAACAAGCGTGTGTTGCATGTTCCTTGCACGTGCAGTGCGTGACCCTGCAAAGTGGCAAACCTGCCGTTAGCTTTCCTTGCAGGTGACGTCAATGAAGTGTATACCTCTTATACATTTATTTATCTTTGTGCAAGTTAAATGACATTACGCTGAATGTTTTGAATCTGTTCAGTGAACTTCACAGAGCTCATAGTGGAGTAATCTCACCCTCTGTTGTAAGACGTGTTGTGAGGTTTTTTTCTTTTCTTTTTTTTACTGTTCATTGTTTGCAGGGTACTTGAGCTAGTCATTATTAACATTATTAACATATATATTTATTCATCTTTGTATAAGTGAAGTAACACTACAATGAACGATCCTTGCCGACGCTAGTTGATCACCATTTAGGAGGTCCGTGCACTCACTGCACACGCAAAACCTTGCTGCACGCGCTGTGTCTGAGATCCATACGGCGACTTGGATGTTTAGAGACCTACGAAACACCTCCTGCATGCAGAAGCGTGGGCAGCAATACAGCATGTGCGAACAGACCTTCAAAATGACACGGCGATGGTATTGCCCCCTTGTGGGTGAAGACTTAGTGCAGACCCCCTATACTGGAAAAATGTATAACTTAGGTCGTGAATGACGCGCGGTTAGAAGGAGTCGGCCATGCCCACCAGGGAAATTACCAACCTGCAAGTGTTACAGCATTTTAGCGTGTGGCTTTTTGACGTGGCACCTCACCCTCTCCCTCACTCTCTATGGGAAGAGGGCACAATGCCCTGTCAAAAAGTTATGTGCTGACTGGCTTCAACGCGTAGAGTCAGAACTTAAAGGAATTGTATTACAATATTAGTAGCTTGCACATTCTTTGTTGGAAGCATTCAGAGACGTAGCAGTGTAGGTGACTTAGTCATGTGATCACACAAAACTCTGACGCGCGTCATAATAAGTATCGTCTGCTCATGCATACATGTGCCACTCAAGCACTCGCAAAACAAACGTGCCCCTAGCTGCAGCAGCCGCGATGCTTTACCTGTACTGCGTATATGGCGGACGTCCGGATGTCACTCACTTCACTAGAGATCTGGTGTGACGTCCCTACAGCTTTCGTTGCCCTTCCAGTAGAGCTA